ACCCTCGTTCTCCTCCTCCAACAACAAGTCCACCTCCACCTCTTGGCAGTCCGTCTAAGGGCATGAGCAAAGGACCAGGAGGCACAAGCACTCACCCTCCTTCTCCTCCTCCAACAACAAGTCCACCTCTACCTCCCGGCAGTCTGTCTAAGGGCACGAGCAAAGGACCGGGAGGCACAAGCACTCACCCTCGTTCTCCTCCTCCAACAACAAGTCCACCTCCACCTCTCGGTAGTCCGTCTAAGGGCACGAGCAAAGGACCGGGAGGCACGGAGGAATCGGGGGCAAAGACACCGCCTGCTGCCATTGCGAGCACAAGCCACTGTCCTCCACCACCGGCGAAGACTAAAGGCGACCAATGGCAGCTCACATACTCACTTGAGTTCGAAAGGTATGGTAGCGGCGAGCATAATTTGCTAATAACTTTTCTTTGCCATAATATGGTACTAACATTTCTATCCCAGGCCGAGATCACCTTTCCATCTATTTCCTGAATCGGATGACTGCCCCGGCCATTATGAGCATGGGAAGTTCATGATAACCAAGGCCCAACTTGTCGACGAGAAAAGGTGGGAGACAAGGAGGTTTCATCTCTGGTACATGGAAGCGGCAAAAAAGCTGTCCTGCATGGTTTTCTAGTCAAGGTTGTGGCGGAGTACTTCCACTTGCCCTAACAACGATGTAGAACTCCTCGTGGACTTCCACGACATGTACTGAACTACTACGGGAACAAGACCTTGACATCACCCAAGTCACCTTGTTCTCTATGTAAGTGATGAATTGCGAGTTTCACATATCACCGCCTTTGAATCGGTCAAGACTACTTATATATGCCACGATGGCTTGTCCTTGCAAAGTTGATGGCCTATATATCCAAGGAACTAAAACTTGATGTTATCTATCTATCTCCAATGCATATTGCTCAAAGAATCATCATTGGTTACCACCTAGATGACAATCATCCAACCATAAAAAAAGACTTGACCAAGTGATGAGAGAGAGAGGCATACATTGTGAAGAAACCGATGGACAATGAGAAGTTGAACATTTCAAGATACATACTAGGAGCAATGAAGAAGATCGGGGGACATTGGTGTATCCTAGCGCCTACCACTTTGGGTAAGTCGAAGACATGCTGTGAGAGATAAGTGGGTAGCTAGCTAGAATTATTATTTCTCGTCAGTAATTTGTATTTTGTTTCAATGGCATGTACCAAGGCCTCGAGGGTCACTGGGTTGCATTTATCATCTACCCTCAAGATGGCAAGGCCTGCGTATTTGATTCGTTGATAGTGCCAAACTTAAAAGGGTACAAGGCCTTTGAAGATTGCCTCAGAGTGTAAGTGGTGAACTGTCTTCTCATATGCGTTCTAATGTCCCTGCCTAATACTAGTACATTTCGTATAGCGCTTATAAGGAGTACGTGAAGGATCACGAATGCTATGATCAAAGAACAGAGAATTTTAAGGCTAAGCATAAGAACCGCATCAAAATCGACGCATGACTTTCCGGTAAGTATTTGAAAGGTTTAATTGTGCTTTCCATTCATATGTGTTCTAATGCTCGTGTTGTAATGCTTGTGTATCGATCATGCAATTGTGCCAAACAACCGGTGGGATCACAAACATGTGGCTTCTCGCTGTGAGTTTCGAGGGTGTGCAAAGCAAGTACAACGATGAGTTGGAGGGTGCTCAAGAATGGATTGAAGCCCGGTCGAGAGACATGTAGAGCATCCAAACACGACTTCAAGCGGCATAAAAGCGGACATATGTAAGTTTATCTTAGACAAATGCGTGCTTGAAGGGGGCACATTCTTCAATGAGAACAGCCCGCTAGCGATTTTATCGGAGTACGAGAGGCTGAGGAAATGGCCCACGATGATGCGTCCGCAGGATTACACCTTAGCGCATGTATAACGTCTTTAATATGTAAATGTAATGAATTAACGATGACAAGAATGACTAAGTGAATGTATATATATGTATATTATCTCATGTGTAATGCCTGCATACTTTTTAAGTTTAATCTGTGAAATCTGGATGCGATTTGAATTTGAATTTATATACTCTTTGTATTTTTTTAATTAAGAAAATAATTTACCGAGGCGGGTAAATAATAAAACCCGCCACGCTTACTAATGAACATAAACATGGCGGGCCACAAAAGTTGTCGTCCGCCATGTAAAATAATTTATCATGGTGAGGCGGTGTAACGTGTCCGCCGTGGTAAAAATATATATTTAGCTTGCAGAGCACGTTACACCGCCCGCATGATAAATCGGTTAACCGCGGCGGGCAACCGAAAACGCCCGCCTCCAATAAAGTTTGTGTAGTAGTGTCAATCTCTTGTCCTAATTTGACTTCACCAACCAAACTTGGTGTAGAATTCCAACATCATGGCTCCCGTAAGTGATTTGCCTTCTCGAGTAAAGACATAATACAATATATCTTGCACAAATTTGAAGCTCGTCCGAGAGGTTGGGGATGCATAAACACACCGTTTGACGTTGTATGTAGATGAACCTCGGAGGTGCCACCCCAAGGGTGAAAACGACGAGAGTCGCTATGTTGCCCGCCTCCAAAATTTGAGGCAAGGTTTTCACCAACAGATTAGTGGAAAGGATGTTATGGAGTGTCATGACAACATCTTCAGGAAGGGAAACAATGCTTGAAGGCGCCGCCTGATTGGTCTCACCTTTTCGGAGCGGTGTCTTTTGCCTCATCGCCCAGGGATGGTTCCATGAGGTCGGACGTAGGGGTTGGGCCGGGGTGACAAGGAAAGACTAGGTTGGGCAAGGATAAAATCCACGCAGGGCTTAAACGAACAAGTCTTCCTTTGTGCTACGATATCCTTTATAGCATGATTGTTTGTCTGCATATACCAGAACCAGACTTTGGAGAGTGGATATGCAACCTCATCGCGTTTGGTTACCTACACGAAAGTTTGGACCTGGCTCTTCAGATGCAAAAAGCACCCTGCAGCCTAGCTCGTTAGATACAAATTTCATTTGTGGTTCTGGCTTGCACAGTGCAACACAAATTTTCTTAATGATATTATTAACATGTGATTACTATATATTAAGTGATATTAATGTATTTTATAGTAGATTAAGATATTATAAGTAAAGTAGAGACTATTAGAGTTCACAAGTAAATATTATAAGGTTACTTGTTTATCTATTTTTATTTTATATTGTAAGATTTTATGCAGATAACCAAAATTTGTCAATACCTTACAATTGGCATGCCAAATTCATGATAAATATTTTTGCCTAAGTTTTGGTAACCTTTTCTTACCAAATGTTGGGCTTAGCAAGTTTTGGTACCAATCATAGCCAACCAAACAAAACATCTTGCACGGCACCACAGAGCCTATCCAGCACGGGCCTGGTTCCATATGCCATACAGGCTCATAACTTGCAGGCCGGGTTCATCCATGGGGGTTGGGCCAGCCCCGACTCCGGCCGTTTCCGGTCCAACGGAACAAGGCCTCACTCAATCCGACGCCTCCTCTCCTCTCTCTCGATTACGGGGCGTCTTCGGCTGGTATTAAAGCCGGCTTATCAGCTACAGGCCCACGGACTCCGAAGTTCGTCATCGACGCAGTCGAAGGGAGCTCTGTCCGGCGGCGGCGACCTTGGAGGCAGAGGCGGAGGGGCCAGCGGGCAAAGAGGGGATCTCGTTGGGGGGAGATAGGCCTTAAGCAACGGAGGCGATACTAGTATATTTGCTGGTTAGTCGCCTACTCAAATTCTTCCTGGAATCTACCAAAGCCCTGTCTCTCCTATACGGTTTCTGAAAGTGGAGTTCCATCCGCGCGTCGATTGATTTATTCTTTTTGCTGGTAAGGAAGCCTTGGTTTGCTTTGACCGTGTTGTTCTAAGAGTTAGATTCCGGCGTCACGAGAAATTATTCTCTCTTCAACATGCCCAATTTGTTGCCACTCATGTCTCATTTACCGCGTGTCATGTATACAGAGTTGGCCTCCATTAGCTCCATGTCGAGGCTGCGAGCTCTGTGGCAGGCTTCCTTTAACGCCACAAAGAGAGGTAGCTTCTTCCCACAAGTCAGAACCTTTTTGCTGTGCTTGTTATCAAAGTTTGGTTCATTTCCTTGATGAAACACTTGTAATGGTGCCCATAGATGCGCCGTGCATAATCTTGGTGCTGTTGAGCCGTTCAATGATAACCATATAAGGTGTAGTCAAGGTCTTGAATTTCTCCCTGTCTCCCGAGCATTGAGGATTTGACTTTCTTGTGTAGGAATGGAAGGCAAAGAGTACAGCGCTGCCAGGGTGCAGAATAAGAATTTTCCTAGTCACAGTTTGTAGTATGTTGAGTATTATACATGATATGAAATTTGCAAGCATGTCAGATTGTCAGCTAGATATTAATCATGTTGAAGTATCATTATGAATAGAATATAATGCCAGTTTCATTCCATATGCACCAGTAGTAGCCTTGAGACGTCTTAGCTTTTGGGCCAAAAGCCAAAAGCCCAATCAAAGGGTTTTTTAGTCTTTTTGAAGCGGTTGCTTTTATAATTCATTTTTGAAAATTTGGTTTTTCATGCTTTTAGCATTGCGCTTTTGAAATTGGTGGAATAAAAGCTCTTCCATAGTTGTTTCAAGAGAGATAAAGATAAAAGGTATATTTTATACTTGTTTAACCAAACAACTTTCAGCTTTTCTACAGCTCACAGCCCACAGCAGCTTTTCTACAGCTCACAGTCCACATCAGCTTTTTTCCACAGCCACAGCTCAACCAAACAGGGCCTTAGTAGCTGGCTAGCTGCTACTCATGCATTGCAGATCTGAAATAGATGTGTAGCGTGTGGAATTCATGGTGTCCCTGTAGTAATAGCATGTTTTGCTAATACATAAACAAGGAACTTATGGAAATTCTGCTTTTAAGTGTGCAGAATAAACTCCTCTGGAAAATACATAACCTCCTTAATTATCTTGGTCTTTATTAATTATTTGTTCTATATGCTTAATTGTCAGCTCTTGTATGGAGTTCAGATGATCTAATTCCGCCAAGTGAAAGATGTATCTTCAATTTCAACTCAAAAGATGAGCTGAAAAGGTGGCATTTGTACTCAGAATCAGAGTATGGAGGTACTGCCTCACTTTCGAATTATATACTTTTATAAAAATTACTAATTGCTGCAGTTTCTCTAAATACTGATCTGAACATCTGATACTATAGTATAATTTGTCCTTGTGCTTTGTGACTGATTGGCTGGGAGATACTTAGGGATGATTGCCTTGTGTTGAAAATGCTCCTTTGGTTTTGTTCTCAGAATATGTTAATAAGATGCTCTTTTGAGTTTCTGATGGTTCACAGTGGAAAAATGTATTGCAGTTCAATCTTGTCCTGGTAGTCCCCAGTATATTACTTCTAGAATCATCCTACCCTCAGTCTTCCTAATGCAAAATCCTTTTAAAGGAAACATATTACAAACTAGTATAATACATGGAGATATAGAAGAACATACTCCATTGATTCATTGATTCTCACTTTGCTACCTGCATTTTCTCCTTTTTTTTGCCATCAACATGAATTATATGTAGGGTTTATATATAACACTATTATAGCTTTGCTTTCCAGATAGTGTTCCAAATGGGAGTCGACCACCCCTTGTGTTTATGACCACAGGATACTTGATACTGCGTAAACTGGTGCACTACTTTATTATCTGCTGCTAGTTTCAAAACAAATGGATCAGATAGCTGATGAAACGACGGTATATATTACACGGGTGAACCTTTTCTGCAGGAACAGGAAAAGCATTATCACTTTAGTTTGTTGTGCACTCGTACAGTTGTGCCTTAGAATAATATGAGTGGACTTGTGAATTCGATAGAGTATATATTTCCCTACAACAGTTAATACCTTACATGTGTAGTACATTCTTATATTTTTGAAGGACATTTTTCAGCTTTGCTGCAAATACCTAGCTTCTTGTTTACATCTATGAGAGAATATAATTGGACAAAGTTGTTATCCAGGTTTGTCTTCTGCATCCTTGGAAATAACTGATGGCGCTTCAGTTGGAGATACTCCATTAACTGGTAATAATTGTTCTACGTTCTTAACTTTTCCAGCTTGTGCCAATCATTTGAAGTCTATTTTGAATTGAGTACTTTCTGGTACAAGAGAAAACAAATGATGAATTTATGGCTTCTTTCGTTTAGCATAATAAACCTCATTAACCTTGAAATGTTTTAGTGGTTTTCTCGGAAATTTTATGAGGCGAGTCCAAATTATCAGTGGATACCAGCTGCTGTATTTTCTTTAGTAATTGAATTGAAACATGCAGTTTTTTTTTACTTATGATTTTCTTAGACTGGTTTGTAAGGTAACTTTTTTTTTACATTTGTATTCTTGAAGGTGTGTTTTCTGGTAATCTTTCTTTGGATATGTCCGAAGAGTCAACATGGAGGATCAGGCACTATGGATTCTGCGGGATGCGATCAAAGAAGGTACATTTTTATGTTTTAGGGCGACACTGGGGTACTAACCTGGTTACTTCCGTAAATGCTTATCCCATTTCAGCAATGTTGTGCTATCCTTATTAGATGCTCAAATGTTGTCACCAATGAATGGTGCAAGCGGTAAATATTTACTTCAAGGTCCCGGTTGAGGCATGATCTCCTCGCATTGCACAAAGCGAGGTAAGGCTTGCCATTAACAAAGCTCTCTGCAGACCGTAACGCGCTTTTTTTTAATGATGGTAAAATATTTCTACGGCAGCTCTTGAAAAGTGGTTGTCAAATGCACCGTCCATTCCAAATTGTAAGTCGTTTTGGCTTTTCAAGGTACATGACTTTTGCTACGCACCTAGATATAAATTATATCTAGATACATAGCAAAAAGCCAGAACGATATACAATTTGAAATGGAGGGAGTACTAACCAAATATAACAAAATAGAAGTTCTTTGAAATGCCACTGCAAATACTAAGTGTACCGTATCTAGGCTTGAGAGGGTTCAACATCGTAGGGCTTTAGATCAAACTGTTTTGTTCTCTGGAGGTCAGTGAAGTCATATCAAGTGTCTTAGGATTCAGTAAATGATGCTTACTTAAGACTACCTTCTAAAGAAATATAGGTGCTTAAGCAGATGCTAGCTGAATGTCAGCAGAATTAATCTGTGGAGTGCTGATTAAAAAATTCCTTTCTGCTGTTTCAGTTTGATGGTTTCATTGACCTTGATGCATATGATACAATAGCAATGAAGATCAAAGGGGATGGAAGATGCTACATATCTACCGTATGTTTTCCCACACAAGAGTTACTTTTGAATACTTGATGTCCAGTCAGTATCGTTCTGCAGAATCTGAAATTTTAAGTACAGATATACACGGAGAATTGGGTGAATTCACCTGGACAACAAGAAGACAACTCATGGCAGGCTTTTGTGTACATACCCCAGGACAGATGGCAAGTCTTGAAGGTAAATTATCATTTGCTATCATTCAAAATTCAAAATATGCGATTTTTTTATGATGAAAGACACGTTCCCTTTCCATACAGATCCCTCGATATCGCAGGAAATGTGATTGAGGCAAAGTTGGAAATGAACCCTGCTCGAATCGTGGGGATGTCAATCTCTGTAAACGCAGAAGGCGGTGTTCCTGGTGCCAAGACTGGGCCTGGTGATTTTAGGCTTGAGGTTGATTGGATCAAGGCGTTGAGAACACTGTGACCTCCACAAGTCGTAGTCTTATATTTCACTGCTTGAGTTTCACATCGGCTTTTTCCTTCTTTTCTGTTTCATCCTGCTCCGGCGCCGCTGAAATTTTATCAGCCACCGAAACCACAGGAGTAACCGTAGCACAGATTGCCAACTCCTGTATGCACTCTTAGGTGTATGAAATATTTGTTTTGTACTAGTAGCGGCTTCTGCAGTTCGGCACCAATGAATAATGGATTTTGTTTTACTTTTGAGGTTTATGAATAAATGATCGAAAAGATGGAGCATTTAGTTAAGGTGTTTCCTTTGGACAGATGTTACTTTCCTCACTAGTATATGATCGGCCGATCTAATGATGTGCATTCCACCCTGACGATAATGTCAGAGTAGGGTTCAATTTAATTATCGATCTGCTTATTCCAAGAAACAATACTTTTCTCTCACACCAAACCATTTGAAACTTTACATGACTTATAAGTTAATCTAGTTCAACGTACTGTGATTTGGGCTTAACTTAGAAATGCATGCTAGAATTTTTCTCCACACTAAACCAAATGCAGCAGGAATGCAGGATCGAACAAGTCTAGCCAAACGAACATGCTAAGCTGTTAACTATTTGACTGTTCAGAGTACTACTGTTTGATCATTTGAATTACTCGTAGACACGTTCACTTATGATTTCAGGGAAACAACTTAGAAATGCATGCTAGAAGCCCGCACTGTAGCAGGAATGCAGGATCCACAATTGTCAGCCTACTTAGGACCCGTTAATTTGGCGGAATTTTAGTTAAACCTGGTGTAAAAAACACTGTTCTTGTTAAATTGTTGCTGAAATTAACTGTTAAATTTGAAAAAAAAGTCGAACAATCGAATATTAAGTGTAGCGAAGCGGCCCCGCTGACAATTGTACGTTTTGCAGGATCCACAATTGTGCAATCATTAATGGCTTGTTTGGTTGCACTCCAATCTACATCATTCCATATTGGTTAGGATAGGAGGCTTCCAATGAAATGCGAAATGGTGTAGATGGAAGTGCAGCCAAACAGGTCTTTGGTGAGAAATGTGTAGACGAAATAAGGTGAATTAGAGCGCAGCTGAACAAGTCTGGTTTGAAACCCGTCACCCGTGACAGTAAGCAATGGAAACTTCTACACACGCCTCATGGAGAGGAGTTGAAATTACATTCAGAACCAGGATGCTAATTTGCACGTTTTCCTCGAGCTTAACCCATCAGACATTCAGACTGGATTTGTTTGATCGAAGAACACATGTTTTCCACCAAAAAGTACTTTAATCTCGTGACAGTAGGAGATGGAAAGTTTAATTTCCCCCAAATGGATGGAGGAAAAGGAAACAAACAAGTGGCGAATTCAGAGCTCTCTCTCTCTCTTTACAAATGAAGACGCAATGTGATCATGGACCACCAGGAAAACAAACGAACAAAATAGGCAATGCCGCCGCCTTACAAACTACTAGTACAAAGACAAGCGGTGAATGGCGACGACTAGTCTTGCTTGAATGCGCAAAAACAAAGGAGGGCGGGTCAGCCTTGTCATCCTTCGATGAAGCCGGTCATCCGCAGCACGGAGTCGCGCAGGTGGCTGAGCTCGCGCGCGCGGCCGGGCCCCGACCGCAGCGCGAACGCCGCCGCCCCTCCGACCGCCTCCGCAGCGAGATCAGGACGTGAGGCGGCACCACCGTGCCGCTGCCGCTCCAGCCACCGTCCTCGTCCTCGTGGTCTCGGCGTCGGGCCGCCGAGCTCGCCGCGGGCCTGGGAATGTCCACCGGCCGCGGGCTCGGATGGATGGGCCTCTCACTCTCAGGGACGCCTCGCGGAGCCGGCGCCCTGGACCGCGGCGCCACGGGCGACGACGAGCTGCAGCTGGGCGTCGCGTCGCCGTCGCCGTGGGGCGCCTCCGGCCACAGCACCTCCGACTCGCACAGCTCCTCGGCGGCGCTCGCCATTGCGTCGTCTGATGAGCTCTCGCTGCGCGGTTCCGGGTCGCTCTGGAAGTTGTTGGAATGGATGCTTCGGGCTCTGGGATAAAAGCTGAATTCGCTTGGTTTGTGGTGGACAATGCAAAAAGGTTTCTCGCGCGGCGAACCGGAGCGGGGAGGGGCGCGTATATATAGGCGCAGCCGCGCAGCGGGTTCATTCCCGGCTGCGCGAAGCTTCCCACGTACGGCAGCCGCGTTGTGAGCGCTGTGGGAGACAGAGACTAGTACTCCTAAAAAAATTGACGGGAAAAATCGCAGTAAATTCTGCCAGGTTTGAATCAGATACATTCAGATCAGACTCACGGGCCCGGGGTCAATGAACGCTTTGATGATCGAAACGGTGGCACAAAAGAAGAGGTGACGCGTCAGACCAACGGACCTGCGTGTGTGTGTCTCTCTCTATATATAAAGAGAGAGAGAGAAAACCACAGTCACTTTTGGTGTGGGGAGTATTTTTCTCGGTGGACAAGATAGTGGTAGCGTTTGTTCGGCTGTCTCGGGCCTCGTTTAGATGGCAAGTTTTTTCACTCTCTCTATCATATCAAATTTTTGACACATACATAGAGTATTAAATATAGATAAAAAAATAACTAATTACATAGTTTGATTATAAATTACGAGACGAATCTTTTGAGCCAGTTAGACCATGATTAAACAATAATTATCAAATACAAACGAAAGTATTACAATACCAAATACTAATTTCTAACCTCAATCTAAACAAGACCTAGATTAACATCACAGTTAATTGGGACGAAGATGGCTCCAAGGTCTGAAGGTCCTCAACAGCTCTGCATGAATCCCTGATGAAAATTCCACGGGATATAACTATATATATATATATATATTGTTTTGATTCCGTTTGTTTCACTGAAATTTGACTTATGCTGATTTGCTGTGAGAGAAAAAACACTATTCATTCGTTGTGCTGATGTAGTGCAGCAGAACAGGGCCAGCTATCTCAGATCCTCTAATCCCAAGTTCCTAACACGTTGGCATACTTTCCTATCGTAATCCGCGGTGTCGATGCGTTGCTCTATCGCGCCCCAGGCGCGCACACAGCCGTTGGTTGTCTTCCTTTTTTTCCAATTTTTTAGGGGCACAACCGTTGGTCTTCAGCTAGGATGCATACGGAATCTGTCGCAGCGTGCTGGGCTCAACTTACCTTTATTTTTTTACGTGCCTTGCGATATACGGAATGCTGTAGACTAGTGTTGACAACCAAAAATGTCCATTTTGTGAAGCTGTCAAAATATGAAATAGGCTTCACCATTACGTTCCTCTTGTCGAGACGGTCAAAAAACATATATGGAACGTCTAATTCGGAGTCCGGATGAAAAAATTATGCCCTCAGAAAGATGCCTCGTTGTTGGGAGTTCCGACCCAAGTCGGGACTTCCGATTGTCGGAAGTTCGTATGGGTGTCGGGACTTCCGGGAAGCCTGAAGAAATCTGCTCGGGTGTCTGGGGTTATCCCTACGTCGGGAGTTCCGATAAAAGTCAGAAATTCCGACTATCGGGAGTTCCGACCCAAGTCCGGATTTCCGACATACCTAGCAGAAAATCCTGTTCGGATCTGGCCTTTTGGATTCCGATTCGAACTGTTCCAAACTCGTGGGAAACTTAGAAAATAAGGCTTGGAAAGGTTTCCTACTAGGATAAGACCACCCCCTCTATATATATGAGAGGATCATGGCCGATTGAGTTCTCATCTATCCAATCGTCAAACAAATCAATCTACTACATCTACTCCAACCCTTTTGTCCTCTTCTCCAACCCCATGCTGTTCATCCTTTGATCCGACGACCAAGGATGACGTCCTAAGCTTGCCGGCCGACCTAGGGCAAACCGACGACATCCTTGCCCTGACGGGGTCCCTCCCGGGTGAGAGCTTCGACGGTTTCTTTGCTAGTTTGTCTGAAAACTAGCCGGTTCTTCGTCACGTAAGCACGTTGGTTATCCTTTGGTGGTTTTCTTGTAAACCTCTCCGTTCTTCACCACGAAAGAGTGACATATTCGCTGCGTTCTTCGGTCTGTAGCGGCCCGGGCGTCCAAGGCCCTGTTGGTGTTTGATTCAGATCACTTCTGACGTCAACACACTTTTTGACGACTCCGCTGGGGACAATTGGTTCGGCTATCTCTTATAGCCGATCTCTCTGACCTCGCCTTACTCCTCGTTGATCTATCTTCTTGAGCTCGTCATTACCGTTGCATCTGGCCCAAAAGGCCGATCACATCTGGTTTTGACTCCTTGTGATCTTGTTTGCGATTTTACAACAAGTTGCATTGCTTATCGAAAAATTCAACAAGGCGGTCAAGTTATAAATCATGAAGTACCAAGGTGTTGCATCACAATATTACTACAATCACCCTGAGGTACAACTTGCAAATGCATTTTATGATCCTAATAGTTATTTTGTAAGTTCTATAAGCTCTTATGTTGGTGTTGCTAGCTGTAATGATACTAGATATGTTACATCGGCTAATACTTTTGTTAATGCTCCTCATCATACACATCATAATTATGAATATTATGGTCAAGAGCCGATGCATGTTGTAAATTCTTTTAGTTTTGATGCTACTAGCAACATACAACACATAAATTGTTATTCATCGGCTATAAGTTCACAATATATGGTTCCACCACAAGACATGTCGATGAATGAGAGAATTGGCTATAACAATGCTAATTATTTAGTCAATTGCTCTAAAAATTCAGCACCATATGTCAATGCTCCTATTCATATTTCGGCTCCATATGTTACTCCCAACTCGAGCCAAATTAATGAAAATTCAGCAAGATGTTTAAGTGCTAATACTTATGATTCGGCTTCACGTGTTATTAATAACCATAGCCGAATCAACGAAAATTCAGCACCTTATGCAAAGATCAATGCTCACAATTTGGCTTTATATTTCACTCGTGACCATAGCCGAATTAGTGAAATTTCAGCAAGGCATTCGAGTGTTAAAACTTGTGATTCGGCTCCACATATTGCTAATAATTGTAGCCGA